AAATTAGATAATACCTGGCGAACGAATAATAAGGGGTTGAGGTCCTCCCTCCCCCCTCCTCGTTCAGACCGCGTCTACCTACTTAACCGTATTAAATGCGCCAAGTGGTACGACCCGATCCCGAGGAAAACGATTTTACTCGTCGTTTCGAGAGAGATCTGATATCGAGACAATGAGAACCTTTCCATATTATCCGTTCTCGAAACTATCTATCCGAATGCTCGATCCCCTATCTCTATTCGACCGAGATTGCGCGAAAGAGAAAGGAGAAGGAGAGAGCAATAGCGGCGGGAATTGAATAACCACCGCATAAAATCGGCATTGGATCGGGGCGGTCAACGACGGAGGAGATGATAATGGCGGCCCCTGCGCTTCCGACTTCAAAAAGTACGGTGCAATACGGTGAAAAACGGTCGTAAAAACGATTGGATTTGGGAAACGCAAAATGTATGCGCATTATTTCGCCAAAGTTGCCTCGATTCGCGGCCATTCGCCGCGATCGCGGTGTTTGAAGGATGAGCCGAGTTGATACATTCGCGGATAGAAAGTTACGATTTTTTTATCCCTGTGGAAAAATCGAGCGGGACGAATCGAAATTGTTATTTATACTTTTGTTAAACCACTTATCCAATCAATTTTACCATATTTTTCGATTCGACGAAGGATTCAAATATATCCGTTTCTCAAGAAAGAACCTGAGAACCTGTTTGCAGTGCAATTGATCGATTCGATGAATCACAGGGTGGACAATGGTGAGAGAAAGAGAACGATATTGCTTTCTTTAATTCCCGTATTAATCCAATATACGAGGGAAACAATGTATCGCGGAAAACTCGCCAACTGGTAGGAATAAAGAAAATTGCCATGCGTTTCTCTTGGTGGCGATCGGTAAATCATCGAACACGGAAACGAAAAGAACGAGGAGGCAAATCGAGGAGCGAAGCGCGCGACTGGAAACAACAAAATGGGGGAATAAAACGTGGGAGAGAAAACGAAAACGAGGAAATAGAAATAAAGGAGGAGGGGAAAAAACGAAGCGGTAAACAAAAGTGGAAGCAAAACGAATGAAAAGTAAAAACGAGGAAGGAAGAGCGAGGGAGAAAAGATGGCAATGGGGAAACGGAAGGCGGACTCTAAACGACGAGCCACACCGTGTCGCTGACGCCCACTATATTATCACGAAATTTATTCCCTTGCCGCTTCTCATTCCAGTGACCGCAAAAAAATGTTAATTGTTGCAAGTTCAACGGTAACACCGCTTGTATAAGACAATAAAAAATCGCGCTCCCTCTCCTACAAAGCGAACAAAGATGGGAGCACGGGAAAAAAGTATCAGTAGTACTCGTCATTCCAACAACAAGAGCCGAGCACTAATGGACTGAAAAATTAATTAATTAAAATTTCGGAATAAAAGTTACTTTAAGCTCGAATAACATTTATTCGTTAGCTGCTATAACTATTAACCTCTTTACGCAACACCTCAGCCTAGCTTTAGCACGGTTAATAATTCCGCTTGTTCGATGCTTTGATTAATAAATTGTTAAACTGTTCGAGTGTTTAATAAGTATGAGCCAGAGTAAAAAACAAACTATAAATATAAACATATCCACGTGATCGACGCATGGACAAGACAGAAAATTCATAATTTTCACACCCGTGCATATTAAAAGAAATATATCTCCGCTAAAGAAACTGTTACAAGATCCTCAACTCGATATTTCACTACCCGATCGATCGCACATCGAATACAATCATTTTGTTTATACTTCCCGTCGAAACTAGTACGTAGAAACAAAAGTGGCAAAAATGTGTAAGCAATAGGCAGAGCAATGTATAATAATACTTAGATTAGGGCCAATTCATTTGCATGCACTTTTAAAAGGTTGGAAAAAATATTTATCGGCCGTGACGCCTCGCTTATGAATTATGCATGGAGAACAGGCTACCGTAGGTAGCTCATTCCGTAGCCGCAATTTCGCCATTGAAGTGTAATTTCACCGGACTCGGGTATTAGAAGCGAAACGAGCTTTTTGCGCCGCGCGTGCCGCTTACGAGGGAAGGTGTCGTTCATAGGGTTGAAGAGGGCCATCTGAGGCAGAACAAAGGGGCTTTGCCCGACACGTCAAGGGACAAAGGATACCCGGGGATCCAGAGATTGTTTCGCAGTTCGCGGAATGAATTTAACGCGGGAAAATGGCCGGATTGAATTATCACCGAGAGAACTCTTTGAGTGTTTACGCGAGCTGGTAAATGGGGTGAAACACGATGTTCCAGAGACGTGGCGGGGAGAGGTTCTTCCTCGAAGATATTCGAAAGACTGGTTCGAAAACTTTCCAAGAAGTTGGCATTGAGAGTAGATAGGTTAATTTAGGTTAGATCATTGAAAATCCAAGTATAGTTGAATAATCGGTCGAACTTGAGGATTGTATTGGAAATTATTATACAGTTAATCGTTTAGATTAGATTTGAATCGAAAATTCAATTGGAAGAAATGTCACGAAGAGATTTTGACTGATAGTTGAAATAAATGGAATAATCGATATTCGTAAAAACCTGAATGGACAATTGTTCGGAATACTTGAGAATTCGAAAAGGAAGAAAATGTTTCGTAATGCGGATATTTTAAGAATATTCCGAGATTCTTTCGGAAAAGACAAAGATAAATATCATCTCGTCGCAGAAAAGATGATGTTACAAGATCATGTTCCTCTTTGACATTGTTCGAAAAGATTTCGAAAGAGGGAGGAAAGTTTGCGAGAAACACCATGTTCCAAGGATGTTCCGCTTTGACATCCTTTAAGAAGGTTTGAAAGAAAGGGGAGAAAAGTTTCATTGCGTGAAATTTTTAAAGGTTGGCTCGAAGAAAGCGAATCTCAATGAGAAATGAGGAAGTTGGAGCAGCTTGCGCTGCCTCGGTCGCTTCTTGGCTTTGAATAATTCTACGAGAGGAATGTTCCACGTGTCATTAAAGCTCGTTGAAATATTTAATCCTAGTTTAATACATTTTCTTTTTTTCTTTTCTTTTTCGACTTATCCTCCCTTGCCTCTTTGACGTTTGAACGCATATTTACGAGATATTCAGTCGTGGAAGAACAGCGACCTTGATACTGTACAACTACGTAACTACTTGGTAACTTTTATAGAGACATGCGTTATAATACTCTCCTCTGCTGAAAATCATACGTGATGCAGGCACGTAAAACTTCGAACGAATGATTTACGCGGCACTCGCGCGTGAATTCATTCGATGAGTTTATTCTCGCGTGGATGGGTCCTAACAGGCAGAAGGATTCGCTTTTTTTTTCCTTTTTTTTTTTTTTTCGAAATTCGAACGTACACATATGTGGTACATAAACCATTTTGAATCGTATTTTTTTTTTTTGCACTCGCTTTAACAATAACCTTTTTATCACTTTCGTATGGTGTATGCGTGTATATCGATGGAGAATAATAATTTAATAATTTCCCGTTTGTTTGAAATGAAATATTCATTTGTATAAAATAAAAGGAAAATTTAATTAAACGACGAATAAAATATTCACAGGGGATAAAAACAAAATTCTTATTATGTTTCAATTGTTTTCACTGTGATAATTTCATATTGTTTTCGATTACTACTATTATTATTATAATAAATTAAAACTAAAAATATGATTAAATCGATAAGAAACGAATTAAAGCTTCATCCTACAATTAAGGAATTGGAATAATTTAACTATGACATTATTCTAACTCTACGATTAAGAATTGTAAGGATCTTTCGATCTTTAATTCTTTTCACTCGATCATTCGTTTCGATCTCGCTCGAAGAAAAATTTTCTAACGAACTTCTTCTCGAAAATTATTCCGAATACTTCCGTAAAATCAATCTTCGACTTTTCACCTTATAATGCTCGCTTTATAATTTCGATCGTATTCGTTCAATTTTTGTCAAATCGAATCTTCGGGGGAGGAGATTAGCTGGCCGTTTTGTTTTTTTTTTTTTTTCCAAAATCGAAATTTATATTCCCCATCCACGGAACGAAACCGCCTTTGACGCGCTTCATTTGGACACGCTATAATTTCCGGGAACACTTTGCACCATTGTCGGTTTCCTGATTTAACGTAGCCAAAATGAAATCCGAGATTACGCGTTGATCGAGCCGTGCGCCATTTAAATCGTCGTTCAAACAGCCACGGGTGGTGCTATGAGCTCGGCAAGAGGGACAGAATATACGATGGACCCACCCGTTTATACGTCGATCGTGATGAAGTTTACGATATAGGTAAATTGATTGACCACCGATCTGTGGAAGCAATGATATAAGCCGTCTAGCTTGCTCGTCATCCAGTGAAATAACCGATAATTATCTATCTGGATGCAGCTGCGAGAGATAATCGTACGTATCCCTGTCTTGAAACGATTACGAATGATTATTTGGAAAATTGTGTCGCGAACGAAGAATTGACAATTGGTCTGGGTATAATCTTTCGAGTGTTTAACTTTTTCGAGTGTTGATCAAAATTTGAACGAAGATTCATTTCAGAGAATATTGGATGATAAATGAATCTCGTGTTTTTCTTCAAATATTGAGATAAGTAGTTTAAGATAGATTTTACTACGATATAAATGCCCGTTTCATTGAAATCACCAAATGTCAATAAATATCTACGTTTATAACGAAAGATTGTAAAGAAACACTCCTATCTTTTTGAAAGAAAGAAATAGCCAATTATAACATCGAAGAATCGAGCAGTATTACATCCAAATATTACATTTAACTACATCTAATTGGAATAAAAAGTATGTCTTCAAAGATTAAGATAAAACGAGATCATCAACGAGCCTAACTCGAGTTCAATTTTCTCGAAATCGAAGAGGCGAGAGGAAAATTTCAAATTCGATTTTCCATAATTTCAACGGATCGTGTTAAAAAACGAAATGTGTCACGAAATAAAGAAGCGTGTGGAGGGGTGAGAAAAAGAAAAGAGAAAAGGGAAAAAGTATGAAAATGACTAACCATTGTTAAAGGCTGCAGACGTCGGCCGAGTGTCCATCAGCAGGAGGCACGCGATAACAAAGACGGCCGCCATCCTCGTCACAAGATTGAAACCCGTTTCCTTCCTCCTTTTAACAAGCACCAGCATTCTCGGCTGCAAATTGGCCGACTCGTTGTCACAATCACGACCCGCGTAAGATCCGCATCCGCAACGAACAGACACACCAACAGAGTCGTCCCTCCTCTCCTCCCCCGAACTCTCGTCCTTCCACTCGCGAAACGATCCACAGAAACGTCGCTCCCCCGCGCACGCACGCCCGCTCGAATCTAAAACCGATTTATGATCGGCCACACCGTCGACCAGCATCCACCGGAAACGTTCTCCAGAATACCCTTCCATCGAAACGCGCGAGATCATCGATTACACAATTATCGATTCCGCACACTCGATCCCCTCTAGGTCAAGATTTTATAAAAGATCACGTCCCTCATCCTACTGACCAGTCACCAAATTGACCGCGCGACAAACAAACCGATCGCGATCTCTATTATCGATCCAACGATCCAAAACTTTCCCCCCCCCTCCTCCACTCCTCTCCTTCCACCAACTCGATTTGTATATCTCGATCTCAACGAGGAATCGATGAAATATCGCGAGTCGAATCGAAAGAACAAAGGGAGGCTGGCTCGATCACCGGTGGTTTAAAAAAAAAAAAAGCACGATCACGCGCGAGATCGCGGAACGACGAGGACGACGACAACAGCTCCCACGAGTGCACGCTCGGGACGGCCGGCGTCGACTGTCGTACTCGGTCGCACGGGGGACCCCGGTTCGGCGAACACGCCGACGTCCCGGCGTCACGGCGCATATCTCCTCCACCCCCGTACACGGATCTCTCACCCTTCCCGGCTGCAAGCCAATCGCCGCTTACGAGTCGCCGCCTATCGCATCGTGGGGGCGGCACCGCCCCCGAATTAAGATTTTCGACTTTTCTTAGCCGGGCTGCCCTCCTCTCTCTCCGATCAAAAGAATCTCGCCGCGGCTACGTTTCACACGCGCGCACACGGTTCAACATGCGAGCAACGTGCCGGCCGCACGGAAAAGGAAACCGCCAAGACACGCGGCTAATTCCGATCTTCTGCGGGAAATACGGTGCCCCCCTCGAGTCTGTTTGACTTGTCTTCCAAGGTATCTCGAACGGGGGCATCTTATTTCGCGAGGGTTGACGAGCCTGGAAATTAGGACGACTCGAGTCCTGACCGTATCGAATGCACGCTACGGATATTCATCGCGTTCGGAAATTTATATTAATCGGTGTACGATATGATGATATGATGAGGTTAGTTGAAAAATTTTACGCGAGGTAAGATTTTCGAACGAACGTAAAAAGGAATGGGGTTTAGAATAGAGATTAGATAGGTTTAATGTCTATTTCAGATAGATTTTTCAAATTTTCAATTTTAACACTAGATAACCTACCACGGCGCGGTCAAATGACCGTTTCTGAAATTTCGTTTAGAATTTCTTGTATACAAAGTTACTGTATCGCCATATGACTTATTGGCTTTTTCTATAATGTAGACGCAATCCATTTTTCAATATTCACAACTTTCTGTATTTTTTGCTTTACGAATCCAATTAGCTAATATCTCTTTCTATGTTAAGATACAAATGTTTTTTTGCAACGGTCATTTGACCGCTCATGGGATAGGAATAGGTATACATGAAATGTCGGTAGGTTTAGTGTTAAAGTCGAGACGAATATTTACGGTTGATGCAGAATTGATGCAGACAATGCTAGTGCATCGCTATTAGAGTAATACTGCTCATCCTTTATCAAAAGTAAGTCGCGGATGCGTGCTCATTTCGTATGACATTTCATTTTCGTGAAAAATTGTGCTCGAGTTTTCCGCCGCGAAATAGAGCGTGCTATCACAAATTTCTGTCTAAAAATATCTTTCCAATTGTGATTTCATATCGATAATTCTTTCGAATAGTCGCATAACAAGTTGTAATTGTGATATGATAATTCATCACGAGTTTTTATGTGCAATAATAATTATTGTTCCAGTCATTCGTTCTTTAAATCAATAAGATATATTTGTTTATCAATAAGAATAAAAATTAAAGAATATAACGTGTGTAAATTTTACATTCTCTTGTTCGTTTTGCTCTTTTGAAATTATTTCCACTTATTGTAAAATAATGTTTAAATACGATATAGCTAGTTGAATTCGATGGAATCCATATCGAGATCCCAAAATAATATAGATATTTTGCAAGATACGCGCGATAAGCTAAGATTGGCTAGGTAGATACGTTAAGACTTATGTATCTGTTTACGAACAATCGAAAGAATTGAGAAAACTCTTCTTCTCCTATCTTTAAAAATCGCCAATCTTATCTAAATTCTTGAATCTTCATATAATTTTTGTGATCCTCGATAATCATTAATTAAATCGTACACTTTTTTATTAATCATTCTACGCCCTACGAATAAAAAACAATCCTACTTCTTCGCTTCCATGAATCTAACCAAATCATAAAATGCCACGTACAAACAAAAAATGCTAGAGATAAAACAATTTCTACTTCGTAGTATCGACAGATGGATAGACAAATTCAAAATGAGATGTTAAAAAATATATATTCGCGTTAATTCATTTAAAACGCCTATATAAACAATACAGTCACAAATTCAACGACCGCAAAAATTTCGTTCGAGGCCAAAAACTGTTAAATATTTCTCACGGAAGATTCGAATATCTGCGTCCGTTTAAACGATTTTACGCTCGATTCGCGCCAAGGAAGGGGCGTCTTTCCGCTGTGTCGCGAGCAAAATATCTCGTTTCTGTTCGAAAACTACAAGAGGAAGGGGAGAGGAGAGTATTTCCAAAAAACTTGGCCAAATATCGAAACTCGATAAGAAAGTTTTCGCGTGTAACTGGAGAGCGTATTCCCTTCTTTCATCCCGGCGCATCGAGGTGTATAACGCGGGACAAATGTAGCAACAAATATTTTACCGGGATCGAACACGCGTCAAGGAAACGTAGCGCAGAAATTAACCCGAATCGATATGGCGGGAAATGCTCGCGACCTTTCAAATATTTGAAAAAGCACGGTCGGCTCAAGTTTGTCCTTCCACCGGGTAGAAGCCAAATATTTGCGAAACCGGTTATGAACATATGCATCGAAGATCTGTGTAAATTTGTTTATGTGAATATGCGAGAGAGAGAGAGAGAGAGAGAGAGAGAGAAGAAGAATTCGAACGTAGTT